AGTCCTCCAGTTCAAGCCGCTGTAGCTGTACTGAAGTAAATTATATTGGGCATAACTGGGAAGGTCTCGGTTGGCAGAGGAGGAGTAGGGCTACTGGGGTGGTCTCTGAGGAAGGAGATGGTAAAGTGCTCTGTGCTGCTGATGGTTCCAGTCAGCTCACCTCTTTTGAACAAGAGGAATTTGTGGCACTTCTGTGATAATGTATTTAGGAAAGAGAAGTAAACACACAGAAAGAGGAACAGCAAGGTCAGAGCAGTAGGAGGTGCTCCATGAAAGAGCAGGCAAATTGTAAAGGAGCTATGGTCTGTGAGTAAGACTGTGCCAGAAAATACACTTCCCTAGAGGGACTGTTGACCATAGAGGATCTATTCTGAAGCAAAGGAAACAAAAAAGAAGGAAGAAGCAGCAAAAGAAAAAATCAAAGAATAAGAAGTGACTGCAAGAAACAGCTGTACACTGAGGACAACCTCCTGTGCTGCTGCCACTGCAGCAAAATAAATAACCTGTGAAGGTAACAAGTGGAGCTGAGACTGCAAAGTGGGAGATGTCAGTGATATCAGAGGCACAAGCCTGGTGCCTGCACCTGCCTCATCAGCTGCTCAGCCACCTGTGAGTTCACAGGCATCTGCAGGAGCCAGAGGCCTGCTAATGGCCCATCAGATGCTCAGCAAGAAGTGACCAACAGTCACCTGAGGGGAAACTGTGAGGACAAATGGTCATCTCGTGGGACTGCGTGGACAGAAGCCTCCCTGCCTCTTCCCTTACTGGCTGCCCCATGCCTGTTCTTTGCCATCCCACAGCCAAACGCTCTCCTCTGACCCCAGCAGCAGTGGCCCTGCCGGAAGGGATGGGGACCTTGCGGTGGCATGGTTGGACATTCCTTGGGTGATGCCAAGGTGAGCTGCTGGGAAAGATGCTGGTGCTGTTCTGGGCCTGCGACCCCACTTCTCCATGGGACAGCTCCATCGAGGGAAAAGGATTCAGTGTTCGGAGGTTACCAGGGCGTGCCCCCTCAAACTTCCCCTCAGCTCTGGTTTCAGTTCTGCCTCGGCCCCCGTCACAGGCACTCCCAAGAAAGGGGAAGAGAAACTGCAGAGGGAGGGGAGGTGCCAGGGGACAGCCGGGGAGGAGCAGTGGGTAGGGGACACTGGGGGGTTAAGGCTGGCTCTAGTCACCTCGTTGTCCTTCCACCACTGGACTCTGGGGACAATGGGGACAGAGCAGGGGAATCGCCCCCAGCCTTCCTGCCCCTGTGCCCAGAAGGCACTTGAGGAGGGAGTTGGGGTTCCCCACCAAAGATGTTGGGAGGGCAGGGGGAGTGCCAGGCTGCAGCCTGGCCCCAGGCCCTCTCCTGGGGGCATTTATGGCAGGGTAAAACAGCCCTGCTCCTGCAGCTGTGGGCTGGGTGGGAACAGCTCAGCAGCTCCTCTCAGGGGAGCCCTGTGCAGGAGGGGCCTGGGCTAGAGGTGCCGGGCAGGACCCGAGGCAGCCCTTCTCCCCATGAGGAGTGAGGGGACAGCTACTGTCTTTCTCCAGTCAGGGCTGAAATTCAAACGTCATCATCACCCCACAAGAACAGGTATAGATGTGGTGTTCCATTGATGGGGATGGGGAGTCAGGGGAACTCAGCTTGTGTCCTTTAGCACCCATTTGCTTCTAGTGCTGTTTCCAGATCCTCATTTTCCCTGCCCTCTTCTCCTGGCCGGGATCTCTCCAGTCCCAGGCTGTCATAGCATTTCACACTCAAGATCTTATTTCAGCTTTTCTCCCTCCTGCACATCCCCAGCTCCCAGCTTGAGACTTTCCTCAACATGTCTGCTCTGGTCGCATTGGCAGAGATCCACCACAGTGACTGCTGGGCTGGGCTGAAGCACTGGACCCCACGGACTCTTCCTCCTCTCACAGTTGCTGCTGCTGCTCAGCCTTGCTGTGTGCGCCATGAAGACCCTTCAGCTCTTTGCCTTCCTCTTTCTCCCACTCTTCCTGCCTGGAATGCGGGCAGACCCAGAGGGTAAGTGGGAATCCTGGCTCACCCAAACCACTCTTAACCTCTCCGTTAGAGGACCCTACAGGCTCCTCAGGGAAGACATGGCCAGGCCACTGTCCCCTACATGGAAGGGATGATCTGCAGCGCGAAAGGGGCACCCAAATGTCCGCAGTCCACACCCACCCTCTGTGTTCCTTGTCTTCAGTTTGGGGCTTCCCACCCTGCTGTCTCCAGCACAGGGGCTTGGGCACCCAGGCAGAAGTGAGGCCAGGGGTCCCCAGCCAGGCCTGGGGTGTTGGGCTTCCTCCAGCAGGCAGTCTGTGGGCAGCAGGGGGTCTCAGCCCCACATGATGTTGTGGGCCCCTTCAAGCAGCGCCTTGTTCTTGGGGGAGCTGCACCTGTGAGAGGATGTTCTGGGTGCTGCTGTCACACAGAGCGTTTCACCACAATCCTGTGAGACCTCACATTTCGGGGGGG